GCCCCTTTATAGCCATGCATCATATCATCGTTCACATCTCTAGTGTATTGAAATGGCGCTCTTTGGCCATCAATTGGCCCTTGCGCCGTTAGATACCATTCATCATCATCATCTACGTGGCGTCGCTATTAAACTCCCTTGCAAAGTGGTGGAGGTGCTGGGCACCGGAAGCAACTTGCGCGTCACGCTCGTGAACTTCAGGTGGCACGTGAGGCGCGCGTTATGAAGGCCGGAACGAGTAGTCAGGGTATCTTGGTGCCTCCAGGTTCACTACAAAGCGCCGATGACATAGACGTGCAACGGAACTTGGAATTACGCAAAAGTAGCAAGCGTATGGGCCGGTTGTCAGCAGTGCGCCAGGGATTTCCTGAGTGCTGCTGCGTAACTGGAAGCGACGCGGTGGACGGTCGCACAGGTTGTAGGGTATACAATGGCAGACGACGTGGTGTCGTTGCCGCGACGACTGCATAAGTCAGTGGCGCGGTGACAGGTGCTGGTGGAGAGGCCAACATCGGCAAAGGCAACGCCTCGGAGACCTGCTCCTGAAGAGCGTTGTCTGATGGTCGGCGCTAGGCAGTTCGTTGGTACTGCGGTAGTCGGCCGATGCGAGAGACACAAAAGCTGTCATGCTACCTCATTGCATACATATTCTTTTATCTGCACCAGCAGGGTGCTGTCACCACCAACGGCCAGGGCAGCGAGAGAGTCGTCTGCTGTCGTCGACCTCTGAACAGATGCACATCGTTTGGGAATCTCTTCCAAGCTCTGGCACAAGGTAACAAGTTCGGACACGGTTCTTGGGCCATTCGCCAGCAACATTTGAAAGGCATCATTGTCTATGCCTTTCAAGATATGCCTGATCTTGTCTTGTTTGTTCTTCTCAGGGTTAAAGTGCCGGCGTAAATCGATGACATCTTCAATAATGCTTCTGAAGCTTTCGCCCTGCCTTTGCGCCTGTCCGCGTAGGCGCTGTTCAGCATGGTGGTTTGTGAACCACAGGCTGGCGACGTCTTTAAGGTAAAATGGAACATACTCCAATTTCGAGGGGTCATCCTACTTGTTGGCGGTGGTGCTCACCTTTTTCAAACAGATGCAGCCAGTCTTCCACATCTTTGTCCTCGGTGCCGCTGAAGAAGGGGGGAATCTCGTTGGCGTAGGGTGATAAGCACAATGACTAGTTGAGATTGGGCCGTGCTTTGCTGGGCGGCACCTTGCTCTGTGGTCTGATCAGGCATTGTTGATGCAGCAGGCAGCTTCCGGCTTCGAAGTTCCATATTTGCGTACCCAGCACACTTCCACCACTTTGCAATAGTTTGTTTATTTCTGTTGATTCCTTCAACATTAACCCTATTTTTTTTTACCAGGCAATTTTCACAAAAGCACTGTTCAAAATGCCATACACATTTATGTCCACGCAGTAAGTTCTTGGTATAATTCCTTATTTCTCTGAGTAAAGAGCGAAAATTCCATAGTGCTGGGGCACAATAATCAGATTGACAGTTCATGGGTCTAGTTCTGTTTGTCAGCTCACTAACTTGTTGCTGTCAATTGATTGCTGATAACACCAATTTAATAGATACCTTTTAAAACCTGCCACATTTCCTTTTGCCTGAGAATACAGTCGAAACCCGCAATAACGAAACCCCGCGAGTACGAAATCCCCGCGGCAACGAAATACTTTCGGATCTCGGGGAACATTTATAGAAGTCCATGGTTTACGTATCTTGCAGCAATGAAATGTTTTTGAACAGCGATCCCGCATTAACGAATTTTCTACCACAGTGTGGGTCTTATTTTACCCTCCCGCCAAAGGTTAACTGTCGAAAATATGCTCGTATGTGTGTTATGCGCACTCAAAATTTGTAAATGTCTGCTTTTGCTGCGCTAGCGCGGGTACCGGCATATTTGTTTACTGAAATCGGCTATGGGGTCTGTGTCCGGCAATATGCCTGACCACACTGCAGCAGGCGATGGCAAATGATCATGCTGCGATGGCAAATGGTCAGGCGATGGCAAATGATCATGCGGGCTTCTCCACCGCTGTGCAAGCATCACGCGCGGATTGCGCTTCGGCCTTACCAGACGAAGATTTGGACCAAGGTGCACTTGACGGCGAGAGTGGTGGCAGTGCAGAGCCTTTATCCCTGTCCAACGCCTGGGGGGAACTTCGAGCCATCGACATCCCAGATGAATTCACCGTTGATGCGTTCGTTCGTGCCGACGACGACGTAGTCGTGTACAAGGAAGTGACCGACGAGGCCATTATCGAAAGCATGCGCGAAGCTGACGACACCGAGGACCAAGAAGAGACGCAAGCGGAGAAACTCAACCCGCGAGTTGTTTTGGATGTGCTGGACACCCTTTCCTCCTTCATCGGCGCACATGATGACAACGTTGACCGACTTCTGGCAATAAATTTTCGTTCTGCTGGCCGTATCACTATTTTTATGTCTCACACTCGCGGCAACGAAATTCTTGCGAAAACGAAATTTTTCGGTTTCCCCGGTGACTTCGTTATTGCGGGTTTCGACTGTAATGCAAAATAACAGAACCGCAAAAGTTCACCTGCTCCTAAACTTTTTTATGTGTTGCACCTGTACTTTTGCATGTGTCAAGCATATGGCTTAAACGGATTGTTTTTTTATGGTGGCTTTATAAACACTGATTTTCAAAAATTTTATTTCTCTTGTGCTTGCCCTCTTATTCCTCTTGCCATCACTGTGGTGACGGGGTGAAGACTACAAAATCTTTTTTCAGTATACTATTCAAATTATAATAAAGATTAGCACCTGCGCTCACATTATTATCATGATATGTCAGCATAACATATCCAGAACGTGCTCTTATCTCAGCTAGTATGTTTAGGTTCATTATAAGTGGAGCTCTGTGTTTTCGGATAAATTTGAAAAAATAGCTAAACACTCGCCGCTAAAATTTTTTGGCGATTTGACTTTATACGATAAACTCTGATTTTGAAAGGCATCCTCAACCTTTAGAGGGCACTTTTCAAGTTTAGAATCCTCACTCCAAAGGATTGCGTCTCCATCAGTGGTAATAACATTGTATCAATTACAAACTTTAAGGTTGTTATACGAACAAACATAAGTATTTTGTGTTGATGTATTTGTACATGTGTCTCTACGTGTTTTTGCTGTGAAAATTTCCAGACATATAAAATGCACTTATGGGGTTTGCATACTTTCGTGGTCTGATATTATTTCACCTAAGATTTTTTAGTGTATTGGGAATAATAATAATAATAATAATAATAATAATAATAGGTGTTTTTATGTTCTATTAAAAAGATTAGAGGCTGGGAGTAAAAGCTGAGGAACAGCTTGACTGGCTCCTGCCCTATAAAAGTACACTTTGGCGATTATACAGCAGTGCCCATGAACAGCCTTTTAACCACGGTAAATAAACATCAAGTGAGAAAAAAAAACAGGAAAGATTGGAGAAGCATAATTATTAGCTACAATGCAGCGTAACTTAATTTGAAATAAATAATGATAGGGCCACACTGCAACAACTTTAGTACTAAATTAAATGCCAAATTTTGGAGAATTTGGGATTTATGAAAAATAAACTTCGACAAACATCACCGAAAATTTCTCTTCGAAAAATAAACTCCAAGAAACACCCTCTGAATTTCAAAAAAATAAAAATAATAAAGTCCGAAAACATGGAGCCCCCTGAGAAAAGAGCACCGATTACAGGACAAGGGAACAGATGATGTTCAGTGTCTGAGTTGTCAATTTGCATTAGCAGCTAAAATCTTCCTCTGGTATGGCACAGATAAATCCTAAGTATGTGCTCGAAGTGCTAAAGGAAACTTTGTACCTCATTGATATTAGGTCCATCTTGGATTATGCATGTGCAGCTAGGGCCCCTTCACAAATATATTTGAAGATAACTTACAGCGGGTCGAAAACACAGCTGCAAGATTTGTCTAGGGAAACTACGATTACAAAGTTTGAAGTCAAGAAATCATACAAGAACTGGAATGAAAATTGCTTCCATTCTTAGGAAAATAAAAATAATTAGGCTAACTCTTTTAGCTAAAGTATACAGTGGCAACACAGGAATCAATACGAACATTTATTTAAAACTACCTCATTATCAGTGTAAGAGACGTGACAATTTAAAAAAGGCCCTAACAATAAGGCTTTTAAGTTTTCATTTTTCCCTCGAACAATTGAAGAATAGAATCTGCTTCCCGGTGAAACGGTATCTGTCCCAAACGTTTCTTCTGCCATAGAGAACTTTTTATGAATCCATCTAAATATTACTTCGAATGTCTGTATAATGGGATGTTGTCAAGAGCCTTGGAAGTATTTTTTGGGGGGGAGGGCAAACCCGTGTTGCATTGCATTTGGGGGAGGGGTGAGCGCTTTTGTAGCTTGGGTGGGGGCAAGTGCTGGTGTGGCTTGAGGGTGGCAAGTTCCCCTTTTGCAAGCCCATAGATGTCTTAGGCTTCTTTTATTTTTATTGTATTATTTCTTTTACCACAATGTCTGTATGTGCTAGTTGTATGGTTTTAATAATTCTGTTTTTTCATGTTTTGTTGCAATTTTATGTGTGTAATTAACCTGCTACGATTATGTGCGGCTCGGGCACTGTCAGTATGTGTACTTTATAAATAAATAAAATACAGAGGAAATAAGCATTTACAGTGCATGGATTTTATTTCCAGCAAATGTGGCCACATTTTGATGAGGTTGAAATGCACAAACGATCATGTATTTAGATTTAGGTGCATGTTAAACAACCCTAGATGCTAAAAATCAGTCTGGGATGGCTTAGTAGATTTGCCTCAATGATAATAATTGTTTTCTTAGCATGTAAGACCTTGGAACCTAATTGAATAATTTTAACCTGTGATAAGTACCAATAGGGTATTGATTCTTACTTAGTCTCAAAAGATTCTTCAGGAGCACATGTTTCGATAACCATGTAAAAAAAATGTGTGGTTGCAAACTGTTCAATTATACTTCTGCTAGGTGGACAGATGGTTTTTCGGTGCTGAAGGTCGGATCTGATGGCCTTATATATGAGCATATTTGTGACAAGGTAAGCTATTTTAATGATCTTTGCTGTTGTGATTCATGAAAAAGGGTGGCAGGGAATATCTTGCATAGGTAGTACAGCAGTAACCAAGAATGTGCGACTATTGCTGCATTCAGTCGAGTAAGGAGCTGTACCTTTTTATCTAATGTCACACGCCTATTAATGTAGCAAAATGACAGCAATGTAAGCACAAACCTCTTTTGTGCAGAGCCTTGGTTCGCAATGGATAAATCTACATTTAACTAAATTTGACTTGTTCCATTTAGGTACTATACTGCTTTGCCTTCCCTACACATGTCATGCTAGGACTGCCATTTTGGCCATTTCCATGTTGTATTGTAAACAATGCTCTTGATTATTTACAACTTCAGTTGACTTTCGCTTGGCAAGCTAGAACTTTTACATTGCATGGGTGACACTGTGAACATGGTTAAAGCACATGCATTTGTGTATATTACTAATGGCATTATAGCATGTACTAGACTCTAATCTCTGCCTTATTATATATAGTATGCACTAGATCAACAATGTTTCAAATTGAAGCTAAACTTGTGGCAATTCAAGCAGTAAACACACTTCGTTTACAACTGTGACAAATTTATGTACATATCTTATTGTTCTTTGCTGCATACACTAATTATTGAGTTTATGTATGAATAGTTGAAAAATATCTGTTTTGGAACTATGTGGTATAAATCTTGCATGAATGCAGGCACTATAAAAGTCTGTAAGCAACAACTAGTGGACTACTTTATTAGTAGTAACTAGGGAGAAAGGAGAGACCACAAGTTCACAGAGCAAACTATTATGGCGAATTTCGCTGGTAGATATGGAGTGGCCGCCGAAATTCTGGAGCGAGCACTCGAATTTTGCCAAGCCAGATTTGTGATGTGATTGCCCCACGTGAGGTCACTCTGGAAGTTGTTTACGCATGCATCACTAAACAGGTATTGGAAAGTTCCTCAACGTAGCCAATTCTCATCGGCCGTGCACACGGCAGGCCAGGAAACATTTCCTTATACATCATTTTTTATAGCGCGTACGACTCATTGACCTCGCTGCTGCTACTTAGCAGAACTAGTGCTCTTGCTCTCACTCAAAGCGAGAAGCAAACCAGCAGCAGCATGTCCAGCAGAGTCAAATGACGCCATTTTAGGAATGTAAACAAGTGCACAGGGTTACCAGACAGACACCGCCTAAAAAAAAAAAAAAAACGCTGAAGACAATCTAGGTGCCCGACTGTACTAAAAATGACGACACCACATTCTCGGAGTTCCAGTGAAATACGTCTCAGCAAGACGGGGCACGCCGAACGCTCTGTCACAGCATGGTTGCTCCAAATCTGCCAGTGCAAAACGCAAACTTGTTCCGAATCTACCAGCAGAATGCAGATTCTCGGCCGCAGAGCAAGAAAACTTGCTCCCACTCGACGGAATTCGCAATTAACTGAGTTGCAGTGAAAAACACACATGAGGCATTTTTTTTTTTTGGAAATGAGTCAAATCCACCTAAATAGAATTTGAGAAAACGGCAAAAATTTGCTATGCAAAATAAACACAATGCTGTAAAAGCTATTTTATGATATGTTATACATGTCGGCTAGGGGAAGTTTCAGGCCGCAATTAATTAAAAAATATGCAGCGGATTTCACCATTATTAGCTTGATAACTTTGTATTTGGCTCATACTGAATTGAGACATTGAATTCAACGTGGTATTCTTGAAAAAGTTTTTATTGAAATTGACCTTCAAGAGTGGTAGGATGGAGCTTTGACAGAAAAGCCAGAGGCAGCAGTGCTTCAAGAGCACTATACATCATCACGAGCACTATACATCAGAGCACTATACATCATCTGTCACGAGCGCACACTTGAGAGTCTTTTTTGTGTGTTTACATTCCGGTAGCGGCACATTCTTGCTTCTCCGGCGTCGACATTGGTTCTGTTCACGTTGTCGTCGACGTTTGGGGATAGATCTCTTGCCAATCTCTTCACTTCCATCAGAATCCATGATAATCCAGCTCCGAAAAGGGAAAAAAACTTGCAAAAGCACCGAGAAAACAGGCCGAGCAGTTAGACGGGAAATCACACGGAGGCTTCCACGTTTGCCGAATCACGTGATCGCTGATGCGCTCTGCTATTGGCATACAGGATTTGACTCATTTCGATCCATACAGCTGGCTCAATTTCATTTTGAAACGAGATCTGTGAGCCCACGTAGCTGTTGGTATTTGACCCATTTTGTTCTGATCACTCTTTTAGAGGAAAGTTGAGAGAATGTGCTTGCATATGGAGCACTATTTGAGCTAGTTTCGGTTTCTGGATTTAGGTCATTTCGAAAAAAATGTCACACATATATACGTGGCCCAGCAAGCCACTCTTTTGAAGTTTATCACTACTAGTATGTATATATATGTGTCTTTTTCAATAACGCTCAGTTGATCATTTGCGCTGCTTATGTGTTGTCTTTTTTGCCTCCATTCATGTGCTGATTTCTACACTGGTACTGAACCAATTTAATTTGCCCAGGAAGCCCCCCTACTGTACTACGTTATTGTGCAATAACTTCTGCCTTATGGTTTTCTGTGATTACTTGAGCATATTGTTAATTTGATTGTCAAGTGCCATTGATGCAGCATATTTATTTCTCATGTTGTAGATGATGCCTGACGAAGAGCTAGAAGAGGCAAAGCCATCCAATGTGGCGGTAAAGCTTGCTTTGTTGCTGGGCCTGACACCTCAGTCATTTAGTTTTGGATCACCAATGATGTCCTCGAGCGAGAACAGCCTGCTCTAGTGCTGAAACCGAAGTCCTTGCTTCTCCTCACCTATGCATTTTGTGTGTGCAGTGTACATAGCTTTAGGAACACAAGTCAAGATGTTTGTTGGTCTTGTAATTTTTTTGTTTTTCCTTCCTACCATGTTATAGCAAGGTGTGACTTTGTAGTTTTTGCAAAAAGGGTCGGTAGTAAAGTTCTAATGTCAGAAAAATCCCTGTGAGTAGCAGTGCCTAGAAAAGGATGGCACTGCTCCTGCAGAATGCAGCAGAGCTTTTGACTTAGTGGCTTGGAACTGTATTTTGCTAAGTGATGAAGCAAGTATTTGGAGGCCTGTCTGAGGTCATTTTGAAACTGTTTTGACAGTATAAATTGTACATGCATGAAAGGGTTATTTATCATAGCTGTGTACCTGTGTGCGTCTTTTGTGCTGTGTAGCTTTAAGTATTGTGTTTTTCTCCCCAAAATTCTGTTCCCTGCGTGTGATCTTTATGCAAGCAGCAATTGATTTGATGGAAGGACAATTTGTGTTGTCCTCTAAATTGAGGGAAGGAATACTGGTTGGGCATGATTTTTTACGTTGCTTCTAGATTGTGGAACTAAGAATCTGCAGTGGTATGTTCACTAGTGTTTTTGTGCTGTTTTTTTATTGTTGCTGGGTATTGTTTTTATTTTAATTAAATTAAAAGATGGCACAATTTGATCAGTATGCTCATTTGTCTAGAATAAAAAAAGTTTTGCTTTGTAGGTGAAATTGATGTACATAGTGTTCTTTTTTATTCCCAAAGAGGCAGCATTAATGAATTATTGTACACCGTTTGCTGCTAAGTTTTTGTTGTTAGCATCAGGGCTGAACGATTGTGTTTTCTGCGCTGTCTAAGCTGTATGCAGAGTGATCTTCGACTCTTTGGGGATTTTAAGGTACTTCATACATATTGCCTCAGAAGCCGCTACTTACAAGATGTGGACATGTAATTTCAAGCTAAGCATGTTATGTGGAACTTGTGTAACAAGATAGACTGTGGGGTATCGTCGTTGTGATCCAAATATTTCTGATCGTTCAAGAAATGTGCAACAGTGCATATTAAATGAAAACAGCTCAAGTGTAGAGTCTTTGCATTGTCCCTAGGTGGCACGAGGCAGCTGGCTTCACGTAACAGCATGTCAAAATAAGCCTTCATTAGCATTGTGTAGTGCTTAAAGATGTGTAAGATGCATTCATTAAGGTTTGTGGATCATTACAGCTGTAGAAAGCGGAGTTATATTTTGTCAGGCCAGCCTAGGTGGAATTGGGTAGCCATGTTTCATCAGCTCACTCTTATTGCTATCCACATGAAACCACTTTGTTTTACACCCTAGGTTGGCACTTGTATTACTCCACATCATTGCGAGGCATTGCAGAATGTGTTAGCAGCAGTGAGTTTAGGCATGCTGAGTGTTTTAAGAACAGCGTATGAGCACTGCGGCGCCCAAGTGTTGTGTAAGAAATGCAGCATTTTATGTAAGGTTTTCGATGGTTTTTGATGTGCTAAGGTTTTTGAGGTGCTATGTTTCTGGGCATTGCCTGTTGTGTACATCTTACATGCTTGGGTTTATGTTGTTGACTTGGAGCTCGGGACCTTTGTTAGGAATCTTTAAAATGTTGTGCAAAGTTACTGCCGTGATACTATTGAGCAGTTTAATATAGAAGGTGTATAAATACAAGAAATGTCGAATTGCAAGTTTGGTGTGGTTATTACGATGTGTGCAGGATTAAAATGAGAGGTTTTTTAAAACAGGACTTGGTATTGCATTTGAAACTGCTTCAAAATGATTTACCATACCTCCTCTTCCCTCATTTACATTGAAAAAGTATGGTAAGCTTAACCACCAGGCATTTAAGTTTCCAGAAATGCCAGTCTCCCAAGAAGTGGCGGTCACTTCCACTCTAAAAACAGTTGCACGTTTTGCGCAGTTCTACTGTCCCACAACATTAATGATCATCCGATCTGGCTTCCTTGTGTTTCCATTCTTGAAAACGCTTCACCCACCACTTTCCTATCAAAGATACTATGCCACGCTGATGATACACATGCTCTTCGTGACCTAAAAGTAGTGGATGTGTAGAATTGAAGCAAGGAAATGCACGTAAGATGCCGATTATCAATGATGTAAGACATGAAGATTTTTCAAGGGACGTAATTGCGAATACACATAAATCAGAGTGACGAGCTACTGCTAGCATCCTAAGAGGAGTGCCAGCACGAAATGCAGGCCACAATAGCCTAGTCGACTATAGTGGGCAACATATGCACACTTTTGCCAGATCAAACAACCTGGTGTTTCACTCATCCCGTCCTTCTGGATATTTTTAGATTTCATAGAACACCCCGTGTTGGATGCACTGGATTTGGTGTACGCGTGATTGCATGCACATGCTGGTATATGTAATGGCACAGGTGGGAATCATAGTCGCAAGTAGTATGCTGTGCTATGCCAATACACTCATCTTAGGCCTGTTGCTTGCAGTTGCATTACGCTTTTTTTGTCATATTTAGAAAGCCTGTTGTAAGTCTGTCCACTTGTGCTTGTATTACATTTGCGGCAATTTCTGCTGACCGAAGATGGTCATAATTTGGTCATAACTGCACCATGCATCTATATTGTTTCACATTGTGTACGGAAAGAGGATATTGTGTGCTACTTTGCCTTTTTATTCCTGAAGTGCTCATTGGTGTCTACTTGTAATGCAAGTATTAAATTTCGAGAGTATAGTTAATGCCGCAGTGCTGGGCCTCCAGAGTCTAAAAAATGTCTGTAATGTCTTCAAAAACTTTAAGACTAAATTGGTGCAGTTCTGCTTCCAATTAAAAAAAAATAATAAAACATGTTAATGGTGGTTGATACATGATGCTTAAAACTGGTAGCACACCTTAACAGTTGTGTAAGCAAAAAAAAGATATACAGGCAGTAGTTATTGCTTGTAGATTTGTAGCAGTTTGGACATTTCAGTGTGTGGAAACAGCTTAGGCTCTCTCTTTCATGCAGAACCTGCATTTTATCTGTCTGCACTAAACTTGCTTGTGATTAAGTGGGACAGTGCTCTGTAGTGAGTTGCGTACAGCTGATTGCATGTTGTGTTGTTCGTTTGTACAATTTCGTTAACCCATTAAAGGGACTTAAGTTGTACATACATGCGGCACATCCGGCCAATTTAGCTACTGTCTAGACATAGGCATAGCAGAACTTTATTGGGCTGGAATGATCTACGTGAAGGTGCTCAGTGGAAGTTTTGCGTTTGTGTGATAGTTTGTGAGGAAGGCTGTTGTAATGCTCTCTGAAGTGGAAAATTCTTTCGACACTAGAGGCAGAGAATTCATATATTTACTCTTTACAAGCAAACTAGAGGCCGCATGAGTTTATATAGTCTTGTCATGACTGTTCAGTGGCCTGGGGACGCATTTTTTTTGCAGGCATGCTGCAATAAATGAGCGCTAGTCTAAACCCCAGTCTGTCTATAGCTCACATCGCAATGCACAGTCTAGTTTGATAAGCAGTGGTCCTATAGGGGCACATGGTGGTATGCTTAACATAAACATGTTCCTTTACTGTAGGTTCATATGTACATGCTCTCCTTTAAAACATAAAGCACTGTTTCCTGTTTTAGCTAGTAAAATATGTTACCTTGATGGTTGTCTGTGTTGTGCTATACTGTCTCAACAATACTGTGTTTGCCGATTTCAGGAACTTGTTGGCTACAGCACACTCATTTTTCGCCATAAGCATTTCAAGAGCGTCTGATGTTATTCGCATTATTGTATTGGAGCATGATTAAAGCTGCAGTAAATTCTTCAGTGGTAGTTTTGGAAAGTTCTGTTGTACGAATAAAAACTTAATTTTCAGTGCATCATGTTATACTAAATTTGATGCAGCAGTGAATTCATGCTGTGATTGCCACTGCTAATCTTCCTAAATTGCATTTGGTGAGCAGTTTGCTAAAGTTTGAAACCTATTGAATATGTGTATTGCCAGCTGGTGAACACTTTTATGGACTACACAATCTTTAGCCTGTGCTTTGGGACTAAGCATAAGCAGCTTGTGTTCCTGCACGAAGGCTTGGAAATGAATATGTACTGGTACACAAGAGGCACTGTCAACATAAAAGCCTGTCGTTGTGCCAGGTTGCCGACAAGTGGCTTGCTGCCACTGTAATGTAGTGTTCCTACTTAAAAGAATGGGACAGCATTATAGCCTCAGTATGGAACTGGCGTCTATCTTAATCTGCTTTATTTCCAACTTCATCCTTCTCTTCTTTCCTGCCCCCCCCCCCCCCCCCCCGGCTCTCTTGCTGCTTCTTCTCCTGCCCCAAGGCTCATACCGCTTCACCCTTCCCGGTTTCTTTTAAGTACCCCTCCTGGGTAATACTTGAAGACATTTTCAATTGAAGCACATTCAACTGATCCACATTCATCAGTCTACCAGACAGTCTGCAAAATTCTGTTCTGGGTGGCTGTCTTGGTCACAGAGTAAGGACCATAAAATTTGGCTCTGTCATCTCTTATTCCTTTCTTTACTAGTACAAGGTCAGTGACTTGAATGTCTGGCATGTCTGCTCGATGCCTCTTGTCAAAATTCTTCTTCATTTGTTTTCGGTATCTCTCCTCCTGTGATTTTTCTTGCCTCTCCACGACGATCTTGATGTTTTCCAAGAGTCACAACTCACGGTCTGCCTGCAGAATAGAGATTTCTCCTGAAGAAGCGTACTGTGGACTGTACCCCTAGCCACTTGTATAGGATCGATTATGATGTTTCATGGCGGCTTCCAAAGAACATTTCCATCCACCAGGAAAACTATCTTACATCTTTATGTACTGTTTCACGTCCCGTATGGCACGTTCTGCCAGCCCATTCGCTGCGGGATGGTATGGAGCACAGAACTTGAGAAAAAAGTAGGTGACGGTCAGATGTGCATACGATCGACAATTTACGGCAATGTGCTTTAGACTTTCAAAGGGGCTCTGCGGCACGAGCATAGTCAGAAAATGTTGCTGATAGGTAGTCGAGGCTCCCGAGAATATGCGAGCCAAATATGGTAGCGCAGCATGCCGGCCTGGAATTTACAATAAATTCTCAGCCAGCTAGGTAAAAGCTGCTTTTGCTTATCTCGACAAATGATGCTACAGGGTAAAAAATCACTGCGTCACAGGCCTAGTATCAGCCCTTGGCTGATTTGCGCATGGCACGCTCGGTCATTACTGGCGCCGCCATGGGAGGCCATGACTTGAACACGAGTGTGCGTGTGAATGCACTGAAAAGGTGGGTATTCGAAGAAGACAAAAATGTGCTCAAGGTCACGAGACGCATGTGACATTTTTTTGCACCGGGCAATCGCTTCCTGCTTGGTTTCCAGCACTTTTGTACGAACGAAATCCAATTTCAGTGAGCGAAAAATCTCTGTTTGCACTAAAAAGATTCTGAAAATTTTTGCGATGGTGAACTTGTAAGGCAATCTATTTCATGGCTACCTGGAAAAGTACTGCAAGGCCCCTTTAAGCAATTTATTATACAGTATCATTCACCTCATTGTTCTTGTTCACCTATCATTCCATGGCATGTTCAATAAAACGAAAAAAAAAATTGGAAGCCATTCCACTCTAACAGTTTCACTCGTTGACCAGTAAACAGTGCAGTGTGCTGAACTGCACTGTGGTCTCCATCATGTCACCACAGTGCAGTTCAGCACACAGCACTGTGGTGACATGATGGAGACCAGTTTGGTATAAAAGGTTAGGTTGTGAATGTGCCCATCAATCTTCAATCCACGTTGACACTACCATCATCAAGATGTAAGTAGGCTTCACTGCAGTAGACAATGTGAAAAAGCCACCTTACAAGGACCAATCTTATCCCCATTCTTTAGGTGGCTTCACTTTTGAACAAATTCAGTGCTAGGAAGACATTTTTTCAAAGAAAATACAAGCTAATTTATGTGAAAATATAAAAGCTTTTGGACTTTTTTTATGTTTATCAATTGTCTGCTATTGCCTTGAGGCATTGCACGACATTTCCGTTGCTGCTCTTTTGGCCTTACCTCATAAGCAAACTTTTCGAGAGTCCTAATCGTGGCGGTAGAAAATACAATGCATTCATTTGGTTCAGGCATATACTCATTTTGCAAACATGGGCATGTAGGCTAGCTATAAAGAAAGGGAAGAGTGTGTAGCCTACAGTGTTTAGGACACCAGCTTTCCATGCGTGGTGACCCAGGTTCATAACCCAACATCGGTAACGATTTTTTATTTTTTTTTCATTAGAATGCACTCATCACTCCATGGAGGACACCACGGGTTCCACTTGATTGCTTCAATACATAGTAGTTCTTTCAGTGCTTCCCAGAGCGATAGCTGTTTTTATGCACAGTCTGCACAGACAGTATTAAATTCTGGATCCTAGTACATATAGCTTTTATTCAGGGTGAATGAAAGAGTGAAAAAAGTTGGACATTTTCTTTTTCACACCTCATGTGACAGAATGTCATTTTAGGTGAAATGCTCTTATGTAGGCTTGTGTGAGTATTCGAATAATTTGAGTATTTGGATGAATATTGCTGTATTGGAATTTGCAGTGGCTCAACAAATTCAAATTGTTGAAAATTCGGAAGTATTGGAAATGAACAAATAGGTGTGTACATTTGTTCGATTGTAACCTCCCTATGAAGGTAGTTTTACTGCACTTGAGAAGTGTTAAGCCATGAGAGAATCATTTAAATACTTTATTTTGAACCTAACTTTTTGTAAAGATGCTCTCACTGCAAAAAGGGTGCTAAGCCGTCGAAACACCTCACAAAATGAAAATTTGCACTGCCGCGAAGCCACTTCTCAAGGTGAAATGAACATTTTAAAATGCAACATATTTTGCACGTTATCACATGCATTCTATAGAGGTCAAGTCCTGCTACTATTCAAAGTTGTTTGCACTTCCTTTGAACCAAAAAGAATGATATTTGCACAAGCCTTGTTTCAATTAAAAATATATATATAATGTGAGGGTTAGTTTGGGCATGACACAAACACACCCATTTTTCTTTATAATGTGTGATATATATATATATATATATATATATATATATATATATATATAATATATATATATATATATATATATATATATATATATATATATATATATATAATGTGTGTGTGTGTATGTGCGTGCGTGTGTACAGAGTTGACTGGTGGAACATGTGAGAGGCCTTTGTCCTGCAGTGGACGTAGTCAGGCTGATGATGATATATATATATATATGTATATATATATATATATGCACTATTCTAATTTGGTTCAAAATTATTTGATTAAAATCACTATTCGCTTCAAAACTGAAATTCACCACTCGCACAAGCCTCGCCTCATGGCATTAATGCTTTCAGTATGCTGCACAAGGCACAGATACAGAAAATTGTATGCCGCAATTACACCTCGTCAAAATTATCATTACATCGTCACGCTGTTTTTACTGTTGCTTTCACTGACATCTTCATTCTTGAATGCTTGGCAGCAGGGAACATGAGGGAAGTCAGCCTACCTCACACTATTTTCTCTTGCCTACCCACTACCACCTTCACTCTACTAACATGAAACACAAATGTAATGTGCACTCCATTGCCTCTTATTGGAAACAGTCATGCTCTGCAACCCCTCATTCTCCAAAGCAAAATTTTATCGCTGCCCCTGCTCTAAAAAGGTTCTTGGTTATCGGTGTTCAAATAACTGCATTAATTAAAAAAAGGTAGTGAAGTCATGCGACTACAGCAACAGAATTTGCAGAAGTCATGTACCTGCAGTTAGTTACATATGTGGCACAACAATCTGCAACCCTGGAATTTCCTGATTGCAGAAACATGCCTGTCAAACCTATCTGTCAGTCATAATAAAAATTTAATTATAAAAGCTCTTTCAAGGAAAAATGCTAAAATCACAGATTTCTTATTTTGGGCAAGCCATGCAGGGTGACAGTTCAATGTAGTGTAAAATTATGCTATCCAATGTGGCAGGTAGTAACATGTAGTTTTATCAAAAAGGACTTCAACCAACTCACTCGACTTACTGTCTTGCACCATGAGGAGCTTAAAGACCAGTGATCTCACTGGTATTCATTCACTCAGTGTCAACAGGAGTTGAAAGCAACTTGATGGTACTTTAAAACGGGAGATTATATTAATTTTTTTTTCTGCAGTCACTTTGCCTAGGGCATATGAGACAAGTTAAAAGGAGTAAGCGAGGAATGCGCATGAAAGTCTGGCACTGGTATTAAAAAATGAACGTGCAAGCCACAGTGGACTATGTGTGTAAAAAATGACTTCCAGTCTGGTTAATGAAAATCCATACTTCTGTGGCTGTCATTAAAGGGGAAAGAACCACTGAGGTTGTGTTACATACACTACGGCTGCTGGCACTAACCTAGAAGAAAAAGAGATTACACAAGGGCGTTTTGATGATGAACTTGTTTGAGCGAATTTGACCTTTCGTCTGGAAAGCATTTGTTAACAGCTCATATTTTAAGGTGTCCCATGAATTAGTGCGTTGAAGGCTCTTGTTGAAATGAACATCAAAAGGAAAAGGAAAAAAGTTCTGGCAGATCTTATATACAAAGAAAATTTAGGTATATGAATGTTTGTGATTTTATATCAGTCTCCTTTTTTCGTGTGTGCTGAAATTGCAGCTCCAGAGAATGCTTGACGCTTCATGACTATGAGAACGTATGCTGCATGTCCTTCTGTCCTTCAGGATCAGCCCACACACTTTATCAGACAGCTAAAAAGAAAAATGCTGACACTGGCTGGGGAAGTGTCAACATCCATACAATATACTAACACCATGCTTCAGAAAGGCCACTGGTGTAAGAATG